AATCCAGCTGTCCATTAAATCCAGCTGTCCGTTAAATCCAGCTGTCCATTAAATCCAGCTGTCTGTTAAATCCAGCTGTCCGTTAAATCCAGCTGTCTGTTGAGGAGAGAGGAAGATATCACTGTGTACCTTATTGCAACACCAGAGTCCCGGTTTAATCGTTTTGAGGTTCTGGTTTTGCCACTGGCAGGTGTATAAGCCAACCAGGCAAGAAACGAAGGCTTCGTATTTACAGATTTTGATCAAACGTTTCTTCGCTTTTTTGAATTTCCGCAACTTGGATTTCTTGATCTGGGTAGGATGGTTCTCTATCGGCAGGTGGTCCATCGGTGGAGCCTGGAGGATGAATTCAACAAAGAAGTTGGAAAGGAGTAGAGAAGAGAAACCAAGCTCACCCCTTATTCAGGAGTCTCCAAATTTGACAATTTTTAAGACTTGTGGACTTCAGTTCCCAGAATTCCCCTGCCAGCTTTCTGGGAATTGAAGTCCACAAGTCTTAAAGGTGCCAGATTTGGAGATTCCCTGTTCTATGAACCTGCCCGGGGTTTGTTTTTTCATCTATTGATCACATTTCGAAAACCCTGTGCACAGGTACGCCTCGTCTTACCGCTACAGTTGAGGGAAGAGCTTGGGCAAACATTTGTCTGAAATGGTACGAAATCTCCTGCTTAGGCAGAGAGTTGGACTAGAACAGCGGTCGCCAACCAGTGGGCCGGGGACCACTTGATGATCCGCAAGAATATTTTGGTGCTCTGCAGAGAAATGTCTCACAGCCCCCCAAAGCAATTAATCCAGGCTGTGCGGGAACACAAAGGCTGAACCGCCCACATGGCCCGCAGGGAACACAAGGCTTGCGTCGCTTGCATTGCGAACAACATGAGGTAGTGAGGGGAGGAGTGAAAGGGCAGAAGGGGGAACTTGCCCCACTCACCCCAGACACCTCGCCTGGCCACTGGCTGACCACCAAACTCATAACTTTAAATCCCGCAGACCAGAGACCTTGGGAAAATCCCCCCCAAAATGTCTGCAGGAAAATCCCCCACCCCGTTTTCCTACCGATCGATCGTTCTTTATTTGGGATCACAGGATACCATCTCCAGGTCCGTTCTCAGGGGGGAAAAGAGAGAGAGAGACTTTTAGCTTCATGCAAGGAAAACAGCAGAAGCTGCAGAAGTCTTTCTTTCTCTCCCCCAAACTCCGCCAGAAATGAGTTTTTGCCAACACAACCTCTTGGAGCAGGAGGCCTTGCAGGGTCCCAAAGATTCATTTCTGGTGGAGTTTGGGGGAGAGAAAGAAAGACTTTGGCTGCTTTCCTTGCGTGCAGCCAAAAGCAGAAGAAGAAAGAAGCGGAAAGAAGCAGCCCAGTGGCCAGGCCAGGCGCGTGGGGCGCGTGGGGCAAGTTCCCCCCCCCTCCATCCTTTCCCCCCTCCCCTCCCTACCTCAGTTGTTCACAATGCAACCCTTGCGTTCCCACACAGCCTGGTTTAATTGCTTTGTGGGGGATGCTTTGGGGGTGACATTTCTCTGCAGACCACCAAAATTTTCTCACGGATCACCAGTGGACTCTGGCCCACTGGTTGGCGACCACTGCTCCAAAGCACCTGAAGGCAGTACAGGAAGCAACGGATGGAAACTCACCACGGAGAGAATCGACTTGCCTGTTAGGAGAAATTTCTTAACAGTGAGAACGATTAACCAGTGGAACTACTTGCCACCAGAAGTTGTGGGTGCTCCATGGAGGTTTTAAAGAAGAGACTGGACAACCATTTTGACTGGAATGGTATATAAGATCACCTGCTTGGGCAAGGGGCCAGACTAGAAGATCTCCAAGGTCCTTTCCAACTCCGTCATTCCGTTATTCTGCTTTTTGATGCATCACGCATCCTAAATCTATGTGTCCTTGGTTTCTGTACCTTATTAATAAGGCCTGTCTTCCCTTTTTGGTGGGATGGGGAGGAGAAATTGGGGTTTCCTAGGTGAAGATTGAAAAAGACCGTTTGGAAAAGTTCTAGGTGCTTCTCAAATTCAGGGATTTTCTTTCCAGCTCTGTGCCCAAATTCAGTTGCCGGAGTTTTATCGCCCACAATCCAGGGATACATTTTCAAATAAAATAAAACAAGAATGCACACAAACAGACATGAAAACAAAGCAACAAAGTGAAGTGAAATAATGAAATGAAAAATGATGGAAACTGGAAATCAATTACATTGGTCTCGTTTCAATTAAAGACATATCGTGCAACAAAAAAATAAAACCGGACCATGAAAGGAAATAACAATATGGCAGAAACTTCAAACGAAGTTACATTTGTCTCATTTCAATTAAAGAGGCAAAGAAAAACTAAAAACAAACAATGAAATGAAATGAAATGACACAGAAAAGAAGTAAAATGGTTTTGGCAGTTCCAAACCATAATTTGCCTTTTTTTAAAAATTGATAGAAACAGAACCCGGATATTTTTTTTAATCCATAATAAAAACATTCGATTTCATAAAGATAACTTTGAAAAAATCAGCTTCTGGATATTGCTTTCCTGCAAAGCCAGGCCTTACCTCTTCTGCTCAACTTATCTCCTTGCAGAAATTCCACTTTTCTGTTTCTACAAACTTTCTGGATAATCTTAACTGCCATGGAATTTTTCAAGCTCCAACATTCCTTCCATTCCTGCACTTTGTTGCTGTTCATTCCCAAGCCAAATCCCAATCTCTCTTTCCTGCCTATGTGAAACAATACAGGTACCCTGTTTTCCCAAAAATATGACCTCCCCTGAAAGTAAGTCCTAGCTTGATTTTTACATGTGCACCCAATATAAGCCCTACCCCCCAAAATAAGCCCTAATGAAGATCCTGCCCACTCCAGAGTGGACAGGTAAAAATTAAGCTAGGGTGAGGTTGCGTGGGGTGGAGCTGCCCTACTACTTCCCTTTGGACAGTTGTAGCCAGGCCTCGCACCCCCGACACCTGCCTCACCGGCCCATTTCTTCTGCAGCCGGCAAAGCTGGTCAGACTTTCCTGAAGGCCTCTGGAGCTGAGAACAAAGTTCTGGATCGATCCTGAGCTCCATTATCAGCCTCAGGGGCCTTCAGGAAAGCCTTGCTGGCCACAGAAGTAGTAGTTCCTGAAGGCCTCTGACAGCAAAAAGGAGGCTGGAGGCGACATGCGCAAGTGAGATTAGTCAGTGGATGATATCCCCTGAAAATAAGACCTGGTGCCCTTTTTGTGGCAAAAAAATACAAGACAGGGTCTTATTTTGGGGGAAACATGGTAGTCCTTGACTTATTCATAGCACTTGTTCATAGCAAGCTCCCCCCACCAAGAAGAATGAAATATTTTGGGGAATATCAAAAAGGGCAGAATATTATATTTTCCCAAATGAGAATATAATAGAATAGAATTCAAAATAGAATAGAAATAATAATAGAAATAGAATAGAATAGAACAGAACAGAACAGAAATAATAGAATAGAATAGAGTAGAGTAGAATAGAAATAATAGAATAGAACAGAACAGAACAGAACAGAATAGAAATAGAAATAATAGAACAGAACAGAACAGAACAGAACAGAACAGAACAGAATAGAATAGAATAGAATAAAACAACCTCCCAAGGTTCAGGAGGCCAACTAGGCCACACCTACCATGGCCACGCCCACCCAGCAACTAGGCAGAGAACTGGTTGCTGAAATTTTTGAAGCCCACCTGTCAGGTACTTACCCCATTTAAATCATAAGTCTCTAGCCAGATTTTCAAAACTTGAAGATTTATTAGGAGTAAACATGCCGGCGCTGCCTGGGTGTAGCCGACTCCGAGACACATCATTCCTTGTCACCCTTGACCTTGGTTTTCCCTCCACCCCTCTGGCTGTATCGTAATCCATATCCTCCAATAGGACACCTCCCTAGCCCAGAGTCCTCCATCAGGCTCTCCAGTTAGAATTTTGCGCGGCAGAAACTTCACTCACCTAGTTACTATCTTTGGAAACATTTACGGAATGCAAGTTGTTGCGCTGCTCCCCCCTCCTTTTTGGATGGCAACTCTAAAAAGACCATAGACATATTTTACGAGTTTTACACCAGCCCTGCCCAGATCTACATGCTGTTGCTGTTGGTTCCGCTTCATCGGTCAGCCATTTTTCCAATCAGCCTCCATGTCAGCCTTCAGGATCTTCTACCTCTGCTTTGCATCTTTCGGCTGCCATAAGTAACGGGGGGGAAAGTATGGGAAGTGAGCTGGAGGTGATACAAACTACTATTGTATAAACTGAGGAGCGGGAGGAGTACTTTCTTGCTTAGGTTTCTATTTCTTGCTCGGCCTTTTCTTCTCTGCGCAGCTGCAAACCTTTATCAAAGTAGGCCAAGGTCAACGGACAGAAACTTCATCACCACCTGAAGATGTCCGCAACTATTCACAACTTTTAATTGGAAGAACTATTTGAATTATTGGGGTGGGAACGTTTCCATCACTCTGTATATGTGATTTACGCGCCTGTTTCCTCCGATTCAGAATCCTCTTGTTGTTACCGCTTCATCTCCAGTAAAAGATATCTTTTCTCTAACTAAAAGAGTCTGAGTATTTCTTTCTTGGGTTTTGAACGGAGCGGCAGCTGACACTCCAGGTTATATTTCCAGCTCCTTTCTCCCAGCTTGGAACTAAGCCAGGTGGATTTTCCTTCCAACGCGCACGTTTAGCTACAACAGCACTGGAAAAAAAAGGGGGACCGAGGACCGTTTTTCAGAGTTACAACTTTTGCAGCAACCCCGTGGTCGCAGGATCGAAATTCAGCCACTTGGCCACGGCTCCGTATTTATGAGGGTTGCGATATCCTGGGGACACGCGATCCCCGGTGTTGTGGTTCACCGGCAGCCTGTGCAGACAGCAGTGGATTCAGACAGCGGGGAAGAACAGGGACGAGTCTGGAAGTCTGGAGAGGACTTGGATGAGGGTCCTGCATCTGATGCAGAGATGGGGCCAAGACCATCTGGGTGTGGGAGCCTCCAGACTCTGGCAGAAGCAAGGCAGAGGAACAAGGGGAGCCTGTTCCCAGTGTGCGTGTGCACAGAGCTGCCAGAAGAGAGCAGCGGAGACAAAAGCGGCGATTCAGGAGTAAGGATGGGAGGTGACTGGCCTTCCCCAAGGGATAAAAGTCAGGCCAAGATGACGAAACCTTTGCAGGAAGCAAAGTCGTTCGATCAGTTCAGAGTCGTCCTTAAAGCTCTTTGTACTTTTTTTTTATATACTTCGGTTGGTTTCTTTTCTAGTTCATTTGATACTTCTGTTTTTGGCAGCACTTCACAGAACTGAAAGGTGGGTGCTTATCTCGAGGGACTG